CTATTGCAATAAAACGGCAATTTCATACTTTAACCCCTAATATAAAGGGTGGAAATTTGTAATGCCACCTGGAGGGAAACTCAAAAACGAATTGGAATACAAATGAAAAGTTTCAGTTAGTCATAAGGTGTACCAAACGCCTTCCTGACCCTAATTGGATATTAGGTCGCCAAACTACCCATTTATTTATTGGTTAATATACTTACACTTAGCTGTATTTCTTATCGACTTCAAAAAAAAGGAGGAGGTTCTCAATTTGACTATATTTTTTTGTGTATCTTACGCGATTATTTCGGCATTTTTTAATCGATTCTTATGATTCTATTTTTATTGGAAAGAGGGTACCTGCTACCTTCACCCATTTAAATTTGAAGACAATATTCCACCACTAAGGGTAGTAAACTATGGGATGAATCCGGTTTCGCGCACTTTCCGGTAAAGGATTTCAATAAAAATTGGCACATAGATGTAATAATTCCACGACCTTTTGAGGACTTTTTTCTATAAAAAAGTTATATTAATTTACAATGAATTAAAATATTAAAATTGTTTGCGCTGCCATCTATTGGGAATAACATAAAGTAATGAGTTCTCCTCGTCTCATTTTCTGAACGATAATGCTAAACGCCTAATTTGAAAAGATCTAAACATTTGGAAACATTCACGGAGTGTTTGAGGCATACTGATAGAAAAAAGCGAGGCAAATATATTTTTCTCATTATCAATATAGCAACTTTATTTAGGTGGATAATATTGCGCAATGACGTGTACGCATGTAGAGTTGACCCTTTTATCACTGCTACCATTTATTAGGTGTGTAATATTTTACAAGTGTATAATTGTATAAGTGCATTATTTTGTTACAATATAATTTTAATAACAAGCGGCTTACAAAATTTTACATCATAATAGTAATACTTATTTACCTATTACTGTAAATAGTGTTATTGTTTTATAATAATAATAATAATAATAATAATAATAATAGGCGAGAGTTTAAAATAAATACGAAAATAATAATAAAATTTATTTATTGAGACAACTGAGATCCGATTTTACTGTCGTAACATTCGTTGTTATTATGCTTTTTTGATAAGTATTTTGATACTCGTAAAATGAATTGTATAAATATTTTTAAGGGTAACTAAATCAATATAATTATGTATAATGTCAGCGACACTTGATTTGGAGCGAATTACGGATTTTTCTTCTTTTTTTTTATATAACAACGACACACACTCAAAATAAGGGCAGGGAAACCCTGTGTCGTGGGTGCCATTGACAACCACAAATTACACCCAAACTCATGAGAGAAATAAATGTTGGCCATATAAATATTTCTTCCATACAAATATTTTTCGGGAGTCGAACCTGGGACCTTAACGTGGCAGCCCGGCACGGTAACCGTTCGGAAACGGATGCAGTTAAATTAAAACACATGCTAACGTTTGCAATGCAAAATGCAAAGTTTAATTACCTTGTACAAACTCAAACGTAATTAGATTAGATTAAAGTAGCGACAACAAATGCAAGTAAATGTAAGTACTGTGGCAGCAACCTTCAAATGCTTATACCGAAACATCGAGTAATTTCTTCAAAGCAATAGAAAATAAAATAAAACAGTGTTATGTCGGCCAATACGTAATCTCAAATAACCTTGTGATTATTTTATACCAATTAATAAACGTAATTATGAGTATTTATAGCATACCATGAAGCTTTACAGTTACATATACAGCATCATATATCATATCATACAAAGTTTATGAAATATATAAAATGCAACAATTATATTATGAATTAGCTTCTGGGGAGCTTAAAAATATGTATTGCACTCACAAGACACCTGACCGTGGCTCAATTTACTCGACTATTAACTATATTTTAATATATTATGTCATAATATACATATATATTATGAGTAAATGCTAACATGTATAAAGATAAACCATGACATACCAAACGTACATACATATTAAAACACCACGTTTGCATTAGACTATTGATATATGATAAAGTATCAGGATAAGTATGAGTGCAGGCAAGTGTTGTTCTAATTACCTTTTAATAATTTTTTACTTTATATAGGTAGTATCCACTTATTCTAATAGAGAAGAAAACATTTAAATTTTTTTAATGATGATAATATTTCTTGTAGTCATAAGTCTACACTTACTTTACATTAGTTATATGACAATGTTTTTCAAACACTGCTCCCGTCTTTGTTACCGTATGTGGAAAATAACTGTTACCGATAAAACTATTTAGCCTCAGTCCTTCCAGCTCTACCAAACTGTCAAATCAACTGTCATATCACTTGAGTTCGATGAACGACGAACGAAAGCTGCATTTATGCAGAAAGTTAAATAAATTACATTTGTATGAAAGTACCGGGTCTCACCAGTAAAATGTATCAATAGTGGTTGTAGAACGTAACACGCGGCATATACTAAAAAAATAAAGTGTTTAGTGACAATAAAATGCCTTTTGTTAACATTAAGAAGCAATATCTTGCGGTCGGAATGTTGGTGTTCGTTGTCCTATTTCTGTTCAACAACAGGCCTGCCATCCAGTGCCAGTTTACTCAAGAAGTTAATACGTATCTTCCTACGATATATGGGATCACTCCGACATACAAAAGGTTGGCGCAAAAGGCTGACCTCACGAGGTAAAAATTTGTTTAAAAATCTTCGTGATGCACCTGCCCTTGGCGGATCTACCGGGTATTTCTTAAAGCTGTTTGGCTAACAACTTTGGCAGAGATCGCGCATGTCAATTATTTTAATTGACAAGCTTAATTAAGTTTGTACTGCATGAGATATTTCAACTCTGACTAGCAATTCTGTTCTCGAGAGGTGTAGACACCTGTGTGCTTAATAAATTCAAAACTACGAATAGTTGACATTTCTTCCTATATTGATAACTATAGATAAATACACATTTTTTATTGTGCTTTTCATTCTACACCTAAAGTTTTTGCCACTGGTGTCAAGATGGCAAATAAAATTCCTCTTAAACTATCACTCATCTTAGACATGCACGGTGTACCTAACCATTTTAGTATAATTTTTCTACCAAAACCTTTAGTCTGTTATGGGAGTCCTTTACGAGACAGAACAATACTACAATATATTGTAATTTTGTTATAAAATTCTCCTAAACATGTCACTCATTCTTGGTGTTCATATCAATCTTAGTAGAAAAAAAATGTACTAAAATGCACTCGCTCCGAAAATCATCATATTATATATCATGTATGTTATACTGTAAAATTAACTTGATATGTTTGTAGTTAATAGTGATGCATTTAGTTGAATTGCCAATGAACTTGCTAAAACAATTGGTCAGGAAAATAAATTCACGGGTCTTTGTCAATAGGGTTGCTTCAGTTTTACTTTTTATGTGTCATTAGTTGATGAAAACCAAATTTCTAAATGTAAGAAATTATAAATATTATTTGGTTTCACAGAATAAATAAAAAAAAATTCTTTTTTTAATGTAAAACAGTAGTTATACATTTCTATGAATAATTTATCTGTTCAGAATAGTAGCAGGTAAATCTGCCTGAAATAAATATTTTATTTCATCATATTTGTTGTATTATGTTGGATCTGAACATAATGCGACAAATCCATTCATGAGGTTTATCAGTTTTTGTTTCAAAGCTCCACAATTGGGAAGAATATTTAATGTCTGGTATTTTGTACTCAAAAAAATTAATTCTTTTATTATAATAAAAGTCAACTCCCTCCAGCTAAGAACTAAAGAAATGATTTATTGCAAAATAACAAATAGTTTATTTATTTACATAACTTAATTTGTTTTGTTTTAACATCTTACATAAAAGTCACTATTTTTCTTAATTGTCAACAGGTTATCACAAACCCTTTTGCTTGTGAAAAACTTTCACTGGATAGTTATTGAAGATTCAGAGGAAAAGACTCCATTGGTAGCAAATTTGCTCCGCGAATCAACACTTAAATACACACACCTTTTTATTAAAACACATAAATCGAAGCATTCTACGGTATGTATTAATCTTAATTGCCTATGCTAAATTATTTTTATGCTGTTTTTATAGCTAATGTTAATATTTTAACTAGTTGTGCCATGAACACTCTTTTTAACTGACTTCAAGGAAGGAGGATGTTCTCAATTTTGTTTAATTTTTTCGTTTATGCTATGCAATTACTCCGTAATTTGTGTTCCAATAGTCCCATAGTCCCATTCGAATTTGAAGTATAATTTCACCTCTAAGGGTGACAAATTAGGGGATGAATATATAATTATATTCATCCCCTACTATAATTCCACAAACTGTTGAGGTCAGTTTTTTTTATAAAAAAGTTATAATTTATTTAAATATAATTGAGTAAATGTGAATTCATAAACTGTTAAACACAATAAAGACTTTGTCAGATAGGTAAATGAGTCTTATTCATATATTCAAGTATTAAAATTTTATGACTCAAAACAGTTTAATGTCAATATCTTCTAATTGAATGTGGTTAGAGCAGACGTGCTAGAGTTATCATTTGTTTCGTATTTATATTACTGTAAATTGCAGTTGCAGCCCAACTATTACAACTATTTAGCATGTATATTAATATTGATTATGCCATTATAACATTGAATTTATTTACTTTATAGATTAGGAAATCAGGTATGAATTCCATTGATTTGAAACATACGATTCTTTATAAAAAACGGAGTAGGATTTTTTGTTACTGATGTTTTTTGGTTTACTTTATTACATAAACCAAAATATCTTGCTACAATACTAAGTAATCTCCATAACATAAATATAAAAACCATGCTTATTAAAATGATTATCAATTCCACACAATTGAACGCCATGTTTAAATAAGTATAAGATAGTGCAAAATATACTTATTGTGTAACTTTGATGCTATGTATCCGTTTCAGTTCTAGACTTCATCCTAAACATTTGTCTGTTTCTTGGCTGGTGTTCAAAAAGTTTCTTGAATATTATACCAAAAATAATTACTGTGTTTCACTAGTTGTATGTTGAACAAAATTTTGTTCTTAATATGTGGTTTTTGTCTACAGTTGACTCCTTAAAGCAAATTACAGTACAAACCTTTGATGATTTTTTAATGTTCTATTTTTAATCGTCCCCTGGTCCATTTTGCTTGAAGATGTTTTCAAAGGTCACAATATTTCATTACAAAAACAAACCTTTCATGATTTTTTTAATATTCTATTTTTAATCGACCCCAGTCCATTTTGCTTGAAGATGTTTTCAAAGATCACAATATTTCATTACAATACAAACCTTTGATGATTTTTTTAATGTTCTATTTTTAATCGGCCCCTGGTCCATTTTGCTTGAAGATGTTTTCAAAGATCACAATATTTCATTACAATACAAGCCTTTGATGATTTTTTTCATGTTCTATTTTTAACCGTCCCCTAGTCCATTGTTTTTGAAGATGTTTTCAAAGGTCACAACATTTCAGGTGATGGATATCAATATCTGTATCTTTAGGACGAGCACGTACAACACATCTTGGTACTGTGTACGTAGGTCACTCTAAAGCAAATTTTATAATAACACTGGGTTTTAGTATGACTTGTGCAAAATCGTTCTAAAAATATGCTAATTTTTTGATAAATACAATCGCGTACTATCGCTTCGTTACCCATTCTACTGTAATTGAGGAAGTATTCAAATCGTAATGGATGGCGGAAAAATTACTTAAAACTGAAAAGCTTTATCTTTTTAAAACATCTGTTGCAAACGTAATATAAATATATTCGTCAGTGTATCCAAGTTTTCTAGTACAATTCATCATACTTCTATATTCTACATTACAGTTCCCAAGGCACATTCCAGGCCTCGTCTATCATTGGAAGAAACCTGTACAACTGGTAAAATTTTCTTGGACAATGCTTTAAAATCTATATCCATTCATTGATTGGTATTGTTTGATTTTCTTATGAGTGAATAACTTTTTAGTTTAAGTTTAACACTGTTTTTGAATACTCGATAATGTACTCAGTGATCTTGAAGACCATCGTCATTTTGCCTTATACGTTATCGACACGTTCTCACCTGACATTTTGCCATTAAGTGAGCACAATAGATTACGATCTTCACGCTTCGACAAGCATTCGAAATATTACCCTTCCATGTACTCAAAAGGCAGACCTTTTGTTTTATAATTCAATTAAAAACATGTTTCCAGCCTTTTCCATTACAACTTGTAATAGAAATGGGTGAAGTTATAGTATGCGATTTAATATTCCTACCCGTATTTAACGGATTGTGTTCTTAAAAAAGGGGTAACTAAGACCTATTATTTACCATTAGCTACAGGGAAGAGCTGAATATGATGACGCTACTTAGTCAAAATACAATGAAATACTATAGGTGGCATAAACACAGCTTTTCTCGGCTACGGTTTAGTAGATAATGAGCCTTAACTACCTAATTATCTTCTAGATTAGTTACGTTTGACTTTGTTTTAAAGTTGTAAACCATTATTTCCACAGTACGCGTAAGACTGTTCTTTCATTATAGCGATCTTTTAAATTTTGCTTTTGAGTGTGTCTGCATGATCGTTTTTTCGGGGAATGTTTTAAGGTCTGTTCAGACTGACGTGAATTCGGAACCGAGGCTTTTCGGTATTTGCCAGAGTTTGACCAATCAATATCTTAGCGGTTTGAAAATTTCGCTGCAATTCGAGTGACTAACCGCGGCTATTTGAAAACATCCATAAACGCCGGAAAACTGGTTGAAAACCGTTTACCGTGCGGGCGGAATCAGAGTCAGTTTGAACGCTCCTTTTATGATTTTTCAGCTTGGGATAGAAACTAGCTAAAATATTGTTTCAGATGTATCTTAACACTAGTATGTACGATCAAAAATTTGTTGCTTCAATATTAGCTACTTTGGAAAATTTGATTGACGCGGTAACTAGCCGTTTTATACTTATTTTCATTAATGTTTTTATGTCGTGGTTTCCAAATTAATGCTAATTAATAACCATGGAATAAATGTTTTTACTATATTATTATTATTTTAGTATGGACAAATGGGTAAAAGTAAGTGTAAGGATATTTACTGATGTTGTAAATTGGGTGTACCGAGCCACATTTCGATTCCTTACTTTCTCAAACTCGTATCTTATGAAGAGTGATTATTGAGATGACAAAACTTTACATAATTAATTTATTTTAAATTTGTTATCAAGGGTTACATTGCATTACTTTAAGAATAGGTGTGAAAAGAAAAGCCAGCGTGTGAATATGAAGGAAATGTGATGTGAAATCAGCCTGCAAAATTTGTATGTCCAATCTATTCTTTGCATTTCAGTAACTTTGTGCTTTAAGATACGAGTTTGAGAAAAAGAGGCGACGATTTGTAAAAATAACCACAAATAGCAGTCGATCTAAATAGAGCAGCATTGTTGTCGCTGTTTTAAATATACCAACAGCTTTTTTAGACTGTGCTTGCCCTTTACATATCTGGAGTACAGTAAGTAGATTACGATAGAGTTAAAATAGTAAACGGAAATGGTTTAGATAAGAATTTAGCTAGAACGTTTAGCATTTCAGGTTACCGTTTGTTTACTTTTCAGTAAATTTTTCGCGAACTAGAAAAGGTGGGCGCAAATTCAAGCTGTACAAAAAAAATGTTGTTTACTTTAGGTACATTACAATTTATTTATTTTTAATTTAAACTTACGATTTTCACATATAATTTGATTTTTAATTCGGGACTTAATCATGTATAAAACAAATTTTAAATACCTCGACGTTTCGGCCGTATTGCAACGTCCATGTTTTCGAAGGGACAGAAGAGGCGGATGTTAGCATCTTTTAGCGGATGTTAGAGTTTTTCTAACAACCCGCACTTGATCTTCATTATTTATTTGTGCACTAGGGTTGTCACTAGACCGACACATAGCACTCACGACATCCGGCGACTTGTCTGGCGATACATGATGTTGTTTACATTTGCTGATAACTGGATCCCACGACGGTGAAAGCTTGAGGCCGTCTTCTCGGTTGAAATTCCTGTGTGTTTTAATTTCAATAGCTTCACGTACGATTCTACTATAGTGATGACGTTCTATAGAAAGAATCTTTCTATAGAACGTCTTTGTTGAACTATTATTTTGATAACTATATTAGACTGTGGTTTAGTTTAGGTTTTTATGTCATAAAGTATGTAAATGAAACTATTGTGTAGTAAAATCCGGCTCTTAGTAACATTATACCATAAAGGGTTGCCATGCCTACACTGGACGATTCTTGAGAACATCCAAATCACCCATTAGTTGTCATGTTACACCTTAAGATACACCGTCAGAACCTCTATGTAGTAAATGAGACTATTTTACAGGCTATTCTATTCCGTACCCTGGAAGGTTCAGAATTCTGATATAGTTTTATTGTGCCATTTTTAGGGTAATAGACGTCATCAGACTGGACTCATAGACTACTGTAGAATGGTAGAAGACCCGTACAGAGTTCAGCTTCGACGTAAAGGCATATTTTGACACAAAGATTACAATGTTAAGCACAATTTCCTCTGTAGTAGAATAAATTCATATTTAGATAATTCTATATCATTATTATGTATATATTATTATCAATGTAAAAAAAACTAACTTTTCTATATTAACTCAGGTCTGGATGATTGTGGTACCGTACTTTAGTTACTTTGGGATCAGAAATCAGAGTCTGTGATGTTGTTTAATATTTATTTATTATATTATTATTGTTAAGATCGGAAAGTGTAGCACATGCGAAAACAGCGGTATAGCTAGCGTACAAAGTACAGCGGCGACTTCCAGAAACTATCTAAACTACTAAACTACTATCGCTTGATATTATTTTTTTGTGCTTTAGGAGGTACCTTTTTGGCAAATTTCTTGCGAAATTGAAAAACTTTCCGAATTAAAAACTTGAAATGGAAACTGTTCCATCTCATATTTATTTATTAATAATAAGCATTTATTTCAGACATAACAAATCCATAGAATTGCAATAATGTTCAATTAGAATTAAATTTTAAATATACCTTCTTACATACAATAAATGGGTATAATTAATTATTAATAATTGAAACCCAATGTCGCAGTACGGACGAGTCGCAACTGCGAGCTATAGCAGCTAAATATATATTGTAGATGAAAATAGATTTTCGTCAATATTCTGATATTTTTAATTAAATCCCTGATAAGATAACGATGTTGACTAATAGGTGTGTTAAAACACTACTATATTTTTTATTTGCACGTAGATTCAAGATTACCGAATTATGTATTGTAGACCTTAAGTAAAGGACGATGAAGTTATATGTATTTAAAATGAATTCAATATCGTTTCCTGTTAAACGTAACATAATCCTATTGTTAGTATCATAAATGAAAATCTATAATATCATCACCTCATACCTGGTATATTGAGTAATTGATAATTTTTTTCTACAATATTATTTGAAATGATTCTAAAGTACGTCATTTTTATATATTTGGATGCTATTTTCTTGGATAAACAAAATTATACTTATATATTGGTCGTATATAAAATGGTTACTACATATAAAATGAAATGGGCTAATCCTTCATCTTCTATATAATGCATTTCAAGGGGTTATACTTAATTATAATTGCAACAGAGAAACACGTCTGCATGACGATCGGGCCTGTCCGCATCCATCGGCTTCCTGCGACCTCCACCAAATCGTCGGTCCACCTGGTGAGGGTCTTACCCACTGAGCGTCGTCCGGTGCGCGGTCGCCATAGAAGAACCTTTCCGGCCCAACGGCCATCGGTTCTCCTAGCTATGCCCCGCCCACTGCCACTTCAGCTGAGCAATTCTTCGAGCTATGTCGGTTACCTTAGTTCTCCTACGGATTTCCTCATTTCTGATTCTATCACGTAGGGAAATCGAAACCGAGCATCGCTCTCTCCATTGCCCGCTGAGTGACCTTGAGCCTTATGAGGCCCATAGTGAGGGACCACGTTTCTGATCCATATGTGATCACTTGCAACACAAACTGGTCAAAGACTTTCATCTTGAGAGATTGAGGTAATTTGGACGCAAAGATTTTTTGTAGTTTTCCTAACGCTGTCCATCCTAGCTGGATTCAACGAGAGAGCTCTTTCTCAAAGTTGGACTTACCTAACTGGACTGTCTGCCCCAGGTATACGTAATGGTCAACAACTTCGAGTGTAATGCTCCCAATTTTAACTGGAGCGGGTACAACATGGACATTCGACATGATCTTCGTCTTGTCCATGTTCATCTTAAGACCCACTCTTTGGGAAACACTACTGAGATCTTCGAGCATTGTGTTCAGGTCTCCCAAGGTCTCAGCCATAAGAACTATATCATCGGCAAATCGAAGGTGTGTTAGGTACTCGCCATTGATGTTGACGCCAAGTCGTTTCCAGTCCAGAAGCTTGAAAAAATCCTCTTAACGCAGCAGTGAATGTTTTCAGAGATATCACATCTCCCTGTCTGACGCCTCGTTGCAGTTGACTGACATAGTGGCGTTTTGTACCTTAACACCTCTATATACCTATAGTCTATTTGGCACCTTTGGAGAGACTGCAGCACCGCCCAGGTCTCGATCGAATCAAAGGCCTTCTCATAGTCCACAAACGCTAAGCAAAGTGGCCGGTTATACTCCTCGGTCTTCTGTATAACCTGCCGCAGCGTATGGATGTGGTCTATGATACTAAAACCCTTTCGGAAACCGGCTTATTCGGGAGGTTGGAAGTCGTCAAAAGCGAGATGGGCCGATAGTTCTTCAAGAGTGTTTTATCACCCTTTTTGAAGAACAGAACGACCTCGCTTCTGCCCCATGCCTTCGGCGTTTGACCTTCGACGATGACAGAATTGAAAAGCTTCTGGAGGACCTAAAGTATCGGCTTGCCGCCCGCTCTCAGAAGTTCCGTAGTGATTCCATCATCGCCTGCCGTTTTGTTGTTCTTGAGTTGTTTGAGAGCTACACTAATCTCATACAGGCTGACGTCCGGGATATCTTCGGTATAATGTCGGGTAAGCTTGGCTCTGGGGTCTTTAACCTCGCTTTCAACAGGTACTTTCGTGGAGCATAGAAACTCTCTATCTCCCTCAGGATTTCAGGCTTAGATGAAATGATGCTACCGTCATCAGTCTTTAGCTTTGTCAGTTGGCTTTCCCCAATAGACAGATCTCTCGCGAACACCTTGAAGCCTTTATTCCGCTCAATGGCCTCTTTAATACGCTCTGTATAAAATTGGTGTATGTCGCTAGTCAAAGACTTCGATATTTGCCTATTTAGCCGCCTGTAGTGACTTGCATCCTCTGAGTTCTGTAGTCTCATTTCATTTCTATGTTCCATGAGTTGGAGTGTTTTGTCGAAGAGTTTCTTTATTCTGGTACGGTGGGTTTCGAAAAACTTGGACCCAACCGTACGGACAGTATCCACCACCATGTTGTTTAGATCGTCCACATCTATGCAGTTTTCGAGGGCTTCGAAGCGGTTTTGAAGTTCGAGCTGAAAGCTCTCGAGGTTTTGGAGTTGTGCAGATATTGGTCGGAGCGTACTTCGGAACAGCGTCCGGGGAAGTACTGCCACCTTACCTATTTCTGCCGCCAAGCAGTAATGTCAACATTATTGTGAAGTGTAAGGGCGCTGGTGAAATTACAGGCACATGGGACTTGTCAACTTATTTCTTAGGGTGACGGGCGCAGTGGCAGTGCCCCTCAGATCTTTGTGATTTAAAGCTCTGACCAAGCAAGCATTACAACTATTATGGACAGGCGTGTCTCTTATCAAAGTTGTGTGCTGTAACTGTACATGCTGACTGTGACTTCCTACTTTTGCTAATGTTAACAAAAGGTTGTAGATAAATTTTTGGTGGAAATTATAATAATATGGCAAAATTTTATAAAAAGCTATGACTGCACCAAAAATATATAAACAAGGTTATTAAGTGTTGATTTAGGTCTAACTCGGAAACTCTTCAAGTGTGCGGAATGTGTCCTTTACCTTCAAGTTACGTCAGCTCCATTCAAATATTTGTCTGGTCCGCTGTAGTTAACTGCTGATCCAACAAATGTCTGCTGTCAGAAATGTTTAGGGTAACATTATATAAACTTTACATCGATTAGAGTATACATGAATTATGTATCAAATATGTTTGTTTTACAATGGATTTCACTGTGTTGTGACACGAAGTCATAATATTCTCATTTGAATATTGAGCGAGCGTCACACAGTTCACATTGTTTCTTGTTTTTCTGATAAAATTCAGTATTCGTTTATATGAGACCGTGAGGAACACTCACCATGATAGTCTACATTATGTGCTTCGATGTAATTGGTAATAAATGTGGGAGTAGTTCCTGTGTAATGTATAACATTATATTGAGTTGTATTTTGGTGTAGACATTGATTAACAATACTAATTTTTAATGATAATATAATTAGGTATACAATTCTGGATTTTTCAGGCGAGTGGCGTGGAGCAAAGGAACGAAGCTCTGAATTGGCTTAGGCACCATCTGTCACAAGCTGAGGACAAAAAGGGTGTGGTTTATTTCATGGACGACGATAATACATATTCCTTGAAAATTTTCGACGAGGTAAGTTCTTTTCATAAAGTATTAATTCCTTTCTGTTCAATGTAGAACACGTCAGAAGTCGAAACTTGCATGTATGGTCAATATTCTCCGTTATGTTGTCATAATATATGTAGTTATGCAAGACTGCAAAGTTGTTATTTGACGCGAGTGCTTGTATTGAAACCTGAGCAAGCGAAAGGATGCGAAGATTGAACCTTGAGTAAAGCGAGTGGTTCAAAAATAGATTCCTGAGCGTAGCTAGGGTTTCAAGGCACGAGACGCAATACAACTTTGCTGCCGAGTGAAACACAACTTTTCACCTCACTATAGCTAGGAAAATGGTAGATGGAATAAAAACAGTTCAACTATAAAACATCAGTATTTTTCAAAGAAAAAGATTATCTTCGGATGCGTTCTGAATTTACACCTCATAAATTTTTATTCTTACTTGTACTTTTATTTTGTGTAATTAAGGGATTATTGAAATTATTTCAGTAGAATTTAGAATTAAAATCATTTAATAAACACAATTAGTGATCATTGGCAATTTAATGTCAACAATAATAAAAATAAAGTATACCAACGGATTTATATTACATAAATAAGTAATATACGACAAATCGCGTATTTGAACAGGTCATTATGTTTTTTTTGATCGAAAGAAAATGTTAGGTGTACCACAATCCATCGTCAAGTTTGAATTCGAATAATCATCTCCGCTTTTGCGCGCAGATTTCTAAAGAGAAAGAAAGCCTTTCCGAGCTAGTGAGGTGAAAAGTAAATTATTGTTACGTACTTTGTGGGCGACTGTGACGAGATTCCCAAACTATTAGTTTATTATTTAATGCGGTATTTATATCGTTAAACCAAACACTTCTAAGAGTTTTAGAAATTCACACAATGTTTTAATGGATGAAGTAAAAGCAGTTTTTAAAGGAGCCTGAAAATATACAACAATAGTTAATGTTGGTTTTTTACATTATATAAACAATAACTGTAGTTATGGTCCAGAGCAACACCTTTTCTAAAAGCTAAAAGATTTAGTTAGCCTAACCAAATTTTAAAATCATATTTTCCGTTTATTGAATGGAAGTAACACTACTGGAGACATAAGCAAATCATCACTATCATCCCATTAACACCTGTGCCAAGACACACTGCACGGCACGGGTCTCCTCTCAGGCGCGGGTTATTGTTTGCCACGCTGTGTGGGTTAGGGGCTTCACCCAATGTGGGTTAGGGGCTTCACACGTTTTGCAAGGGTTGTGAACCTTCTTCGACGTGCAGGTTTCACCATGTTTTCCTTCACCGAAAGGCTCATTGTAAAATTCGCATATAAATTCCGAGAAACTCATAGGTGCGATTTGGAAGGTTCAATTTGGAACCTACGGCCTCTGCTTGAGACACATTACGTCAAACTTTAGGCTACCACGGCTTGATCAGAAAAATTCACGTACTCAATTAAAGGTTCCCGAATGTAAATAAAATGATTAATGTTGTCATTTTTTATTGCTACGATGTGTATGTAATTGTAAACTATTTGTAAGACATTGTAATAATACCGAACCATTCAATAATAACAAAAGCCTTGTACCTGTTAAATAAGTAAAATTTGAACCAAGGTTATTGAAAACCAACATTATAAGTGACAACACCGACACATGTGTAACAACACAGTGAAACACGTGAGATGGTTATTTTTTTGTATTGATTCATATTTTAGTTTTCTTTTGCAGTCGGTAAGAAAAGTAAACATCCAGTCATCGTTTGTTTGATAACACTGTCTGTTATTGTAAATGGATGCACGATTTTTAAAACAATCTCTTTTTATGGAATCTTATTTACAAATAACATAGCACACATTTTGTTCGGCAATTCTTTGATGAATTTGAATCACTGTGTACACTGTTGTGGTTTTTTGTTCTTTCTAATTCTAACACTATGATGATAAGAACAATGTCATCCAATTATGTTACTAAATACGTTAATTTCTAAGGTTTCCTCATACTAGAATCTTGTTCTATTTAGGCACCGGTTTCACTACTTAGTTTGGATTTAAACCCTAAACCCTTACACGTACTGCTGTATTTATTGTTAAATCAAATGTCAGTTTTATATGGCAAAATTCTTTGAACACTTTTGTCTGTTTAACAATTGCCCTAAAAATATTCACCTTTTAACATTTATGTATTTGATATAACGTGTTTTATTAATATAATAAAACACCACATACATTGCTCCAATCCCAAAGTAAGTAAGTAAAGCACTTGTTATATGGAAATCGGAAAGAACGACGGTACCACAAACACCCAGGCCGGAGGTAATATAGAAAAATTTTTCTGCGTTGACCCGGCCGGGGATCGAACGCTAGACCTGAGAGATCACCATGAAAATTGGAAATAATTATTTTTTTCGTGACAAGTCAAAGGTCTCTTGTTTGAAAAGTCACGAGTCGATATAAGGATAATATCCATACCATTGATAAGAAATTGGGTTTTTCTAGTAGGTCGCAATAAGCTAACAAAATGGATGAGACCAGCAAACATCATTATTCGAGCCACAGTGCTCGTGGCATGTATTGGCGTAAAATAACTTTCACACATTAACAAATAAGAAGGAACATGATCATTGATTCGGTGAATAAGATTTCTTTCTTCCACATACGTTCTGGGTGTAAACTTGTTTGTACTGGTTTCAACATAATGCGAAATTTGCTTATAACCTTTATTCATCATAAGTGCGCAGGATATTCATGCAAATTTTTCTATGATATTTTATTTATATTTTATTTTATTACCCGTCTTCTTGGGACTTTTGTATGAAGTTTAAAACACTACCACTTTTTGGGTCCTGCACGTGTTTAATACCCCCTACTTTCTCCATACAGTCCTTCTAACAAAAAATCCATCAACTTCCAGATGCGAAAGATCCGGGAAGTTGGAGTTTGGCCAGTGGGTATAGTCGGAGGTATGCGGGTGGAGATGCCTTTGGTCGTAGACGGAAAAGTGGTCGGTTTCAACGCCGTATGGAAGCCATTTAGACCATTCCCAATTGATATGGCTGGATTTGCTATAAATGCTACATTGTTTTTGTTTCACCCCGACGCCAAGTTTTCGAGGAAAGTGCAGTCCGGATTTCAGGTAAGCTACATACACTATTTCAGCTAACGTTGCAAAACAAATGAAGCTACATTGACTTGGTACCTCTGAGGGAAATAAATTGGTCCAACGGGAAATAAATTCATCCAACAACACCATCATCTTCCATCTGGTGTTATCCGTAGTCATGACTATGATAGCACTATTTAATTGAGCAGCAAATAAAAAAATAATAGAAAAGACTAGCTATACCCCTGAAACTCTGCTTTTGTGGCTGTCATAGTGGTATTTATATAGCCACATAGTGGTATTTACATAATCTCGTAAATTTACATATTTCTGGGTTCTTTGTCATCAATTTGTAGAATTATTTTTGAAATATACTCTTGATTAGAAATATAATATTATTCCCTGCTTCTCTTTAAATTTACAAAGTTGTCATCAAGAGTTTTATGTATATTATTTTATGGAAGAAATAAATGCGCGTTTGACCCCTATCGCACCTGATGACTAATTAGGTCGATGATAAAGCAGGCAGTCCTATACAACGCCTATTCACTCTCGTTTTGAAAACGCCCAAGTTATAGCGTTCAGGAACAAATCTGCAAGCAGGTAATTCCGCTCCAATACCGCACGCCATATTAGTGTGAAAACATAACGGTTCGTACGAATCTTGGGTATATCCATAACATAGGGGTAGAATCCCAGTACTTCTAGTTTAAGATAATAAAGCGTGAAACACACAGAGAGCGGGTGTAGGTCGGGCGCGTGTTGGGTCGGGAGCGCGGTGAATCTAATTCCGTGTATTTTTTATTTATTTTTTTATTTGCAAACTTTTTTGATTTGAAATATTTATATAGACGAAATTGGACCTGTGGAGCTCTCGACCCGTACCCGCCCGTGTGTTTCACGCTTAATAGATGCGTTTTGAAAATAACCGTCTCTATTATTCCTATTATTTTTATATCACCGCAGCAAAATTGCATATTTGTCAGTTTTCTAACGTGTATATTTCGGCGAGTGTGTGCAGAAACTTTATAATTTAGTTCCACCCTCACAGTTTTTCCTTCGGACTACTTGAAAGTTCATATTATTATTGATACAAAGATCTGTAACAAATACATAAAGAAATTCGTAAAGTCACACACATTTGCTGCCTGTCCACATCAATGGTGTTGGGTAATTGTTCAACATAATTAACATTGTTGCCTTGTTAACAGCAATAGAGGCCTAAGGTCAAACGCGATATGTTAATGTTATTAAACGTTATCTGCCTTTCTCTTTGTCCCGCAATGTTTGTTCAAATATTTATCAAACATCCTTTGCAACTCAAGTTTTTATGGATACAGTGTTTTTATCGCTCTTTCGATGTAATATTTTTTTATAATTAACTTTTAGGAAATGAAACTAATTTTTCGGATCTAAATCGCATATATTTGTTTTTTCAAACAAATCAATGTTTCGGACCTTTTACACATCCCATGATAACGGCTGACTGAGATGGTAAAGTTGTCAACCGGTTATATCTAATATTAATGCAACCTACTCTATTTTTCACTTAAGTTACAAAAGTCATTAATGAAATACCTTATTTTTAAAATTTTCCAAACAAACATTCCATTTACGCTACATATGTTATACAAATTGTTTTGTTATAACAATATAATTTTTTATTAATTTAAATTTTATTACAAATTAATAATGGTTATTAAACTAAATTAGAACATATTAATGAGTACTGCAGTCTTATGTCTCTTTGGGATTTTTCATTAGGGCAAATAGGTTTGCACCTGGCAATTTGGTGGTACCAAACAGATGGTACGGAGAAACCATCTTCCCTGTTGAAATTAGGATGTTTTTCTAATTTCAATGGCCTCTCACAGCATCCTGCGTAGATAATGGACTTCTTTTGCAAGGACCTGAGGTTTGTCGAACTTAATTTAGAGTGTCGGTTTATCAATGACATGCTCGCAGACTGCAGACTTATTTACGCAGCTGTGTTTGACATCAGCTATATTATGCTCTTTGATGCGGTAAAAATACTTCGCTTCGTTTGTCGAATATAAGAGAGACCGCACTCACAGTCAAACTTGTAATATCCTGCATCCTATAAGGGGATATTACATTCCACAGGTCTCAGGAATTGAGAAAGCTACTTCAGAGGTTTGAAATGAGTCTTGATAGATGCACGCCTGAGGACTCTTCCGATCTTGTCTGTAACACCTGTCACATAAGGTAAAATGACAGGTCTTCGCTCGATTGGTGGTGGTTTCACACGCCGTCTGTGGCAAATTAATTTTTACTTTGAAATGATGTTAGGAATTGCTATTAGTGTAACCACCTCATCTCGTCTTTCATGGCGGATTCTTTGCTGATTGTAGTAAAGCTTTCATCTAACATACATTCTCGTATTTCTACCATAGTTGATAGAAATCAAAAGTAGAAACTACATGCGCGGAAATAACAATAAATCGCACGCCTCATAGAAGAATGGCATAAATGAAGTTATGTCAAAAATTTTTATTACTCCATGGGATACAGAAAAATATAACCCACATCCTCTTCAATTCTTGTAACTAGTCGATAGAGTTACAAAAATCGGAGAGAAAAATGTAACCAAAAAATATAAGAATTGGAGAGGATGTGGGTTTTATTTTTCTCTATCTAATGGAGCAATAAACGTTATTGACGTAACTTCACTTATGCCATTTTTCCACGAGGGGTGCGAAATATTAATAAACAAAGTACTTTCATTCTCAAACTTAAGACGTTTAGAGCACGGATATACATATATATCTACGGATATATCTACGGAGATACATTGGCTCTTAGTGTGTGTTCTACTATTTAGAGGAACGTTTGAACTGATCCCACCGACACCTTTCTACCGTCGAATGCTCAGCAAAAGAAAGAAGGACCTACGTCCATGATTTCTTATAACGATAACTTGCAAAATGTGGAACGACGAGTCTCATTTGCGCTATGGCATGGAGTTTCTATAAAAAGCGAGTAAACAGGTCTGTCAAAGGCTAGCAATACAAAGTATTTGGTGTTGCAAATGTCCACGGGTGACGATGACCACCTCCCATCATGTAGTTCGTGTACTAATTTCAATACCCCAAGCTCACAGTTATTCGAGTTTTAAGGAAATCGGCGATTGCATTGTTGACCTATATAATTGTAATTTCATTATCACTATGTATTTCACATTATAATATTTTCCCGTGCACTCACATTTTTGCTTCCGGTGATAATAAAATTCGGAGCTATTTTTGATGTTTTCAAATATTGATTTTTCAATGAAACTAAAAACTATATTATTGATTAATTATTTTAAGTTTTATTGTAATTACGTTATTGGCATTTTTTCATTATTTTGTTTGACATTGCTTTTTCACAAATTAATTTTAATTATTATAGCATTATGTAACTTCAATCTAATTTTAATATTTGCGTGCCAGTACCTGGTGCAAACGTATTCATGACACTCTGTATAATATCTTTTGTACCGTAATAAAATTTTCATTTAATTTTATTTCAAATTAATAAAAGTTTGACGACCCCGGTGGCCCAACGGTTGATTATACTGAGAGCGCTGAACGAGGAGGTCTCGGGTCCAATTTCTGAAATGTACTAAATTGGTTCTGGTCTGAGTGTTCTGAGTAGTGCCTCAGAGTAAATTCCGTTGCTCTGGGATTCACAGCACAGGGAATTCCCTAGTTAGAGGCCAGGTAAATGCTGTACTTGTTTGACACATTGGAACATTAAATATAATTCTTTGTTTTTTTTTATTAGCATCAAACGGTACACGAATAGATAGGTTCTAGGATCTTACCCCTATTACACTAGGAGACAGACCTGTAATTAATTATAAAAAAAGGACCCTTTTTTAATAATTTTAAGTGGCGACGGGACGAACAAGTTGTGCGCCTGATGGCTATAAAGCGCAAAGATCTGAGGGGCACTGCCACTGCGTCCATCACCCTGAGACATAAGTTAACAAGTCCCATGAGCCTGTAATTTCACCAGCACCCACACCCTTATCCTTCAAAACCGAAATACAGTAATGCTGACATTACTGATTGGCGGCAAAAATATGTAAGGTGGCAGTACTAACCTGGATGAACTCTTTCACAAGGAGCTCGATCGCATTAAATCATCTTGGATCTTACCCCTATTACATTAAAGTTATTAAAATGGAACATTTCTCCAAATTTCAGGAAAGCGAGATCTTAAAGTACTTCACAACAAAATTCAAACTGGAGCCCCTAGCGGAGAACTGCACTAAAGTGTATGTCTGGCATACACGAACCCAGAAAACGTCGATCATCAACCCTAAGAAACTTAAGAACCCACCGGTACCCGACGATCATATTGAAGTGTGATTCGGTATTTGCAGCTCCATTGGTTTGTTCTAAAATGTGATCAACGCAATCCATTGCAACCCAGGTGTTGCCACTAATGATAATCTAGTCCTACTTATGTTGATCTAAGCTAAAAGAGTTCAGTGTCAACGCTGAACTTGCGCTGATACCGCTGAATTTTTCAGTAGGATTCGAGGTACGTTCTCACGAAACGCTAAAATTAGCCCTCAAGAAATAAGCCCGTGGGTTTTATTGATCAAGTAGGAACGAATTTAAAAATTTTACTGTGGAGTTTTTTCTTGGTGTTGCCATGTTTTCACTTTAAAATTTACTATTTAGTGGTTCCTTTATACTAAATTAAAATAAGCTTCCTGGTTTTTGTCTTATTTGTATGCATGTTTAATTTCATTGTAGGCCAAAAGTATTTTAATTTCGTAGTAAAGTTTCCGTGACGAAGAAAATGATAAATTATAGACAGTAATAAATATTATTTTTATGATTAACACTATTAATAGTAAGCAGTATAGGACAAAGTGATACCTATGTCTTATTTTTTCCGTTATAGGGCTGATTTTGAAATCAGCTCTGAATTTTTCCCCTAAGTCAACATAAAGTTATATTAAAGTTAAATTCTGTAAACACAGTGAAGAACACGCTATAACGTTCGTCAGATGGTTCTTTTCCGTGCTGCCATAGTACCGAGCTGCCTACGTTAAAGCATGCTGAATTTACCCTATATGTTTCACACCTTTAGTATACGGTCTGTACGGATGATAGATGTGGTTCAATCCTAGAGGAAAAACGAAATACGTATACTGTAGCCGCCAGACCCAAAGTAGATGACGATCAAGAGCTCGACGACTCGTAAAATCAAAGACGATTTTAGTTAACTGTGTTATATTTAGATAGGTGACTGGTTAGTTACAGGAGTAGTGCCGTTAAATCGATACAGTGATAGTTTCTGAAGGGGTACAGTTTTAAAAGTGAACGGTCCTTTTCACCTTTTTAGTTACGTACAAAATTCGTTACAAATGTGGTAGGGATGAAAAAGACATATGTGGTGTTACTCGATTGGTTCAAAATAGGCCTACGTAATGTGCCCTTGACGAGCAGCGTTTTGTTACTGCTTTGGAAATTATGTTAAAATTACAAAAATTGTTGCGTTCGCAACATATACATCTAATCCTCGCTTAAATTGAATTATACTATTAAAAGGAAGTCCCTTTGTACCTGGCCGATATTGGTGGATTTGAACTATCAACCGCTAAGAAAATGGATGCCAATACGATTTAAAATAATTCCCAAAAATGTTACTCTAATACCAGTGATATAACACCTAATTCCATAAAATTCAGTATTAATAATGGTTTACTATTATTTTGACAAATGACTTTAGACTTACTTAGCCTTTATACTTGTAGAGAGATAGATCCATAAAGTATAATAATATGTATTTGTATCGCTATAAGTCTACAACTAAGAATTTACTTTATTAACCTAATTTTGTTTATTTTTTATATAAGTAATTTTATTTACTTTTACACTGTTATCTATAATTGTTTTAATTTATTTTTATTGTACAGTAACTAGTCGAATATAATTTAAATAATACTTTGTATGAAAATATTTATTTGAATATTCGCGTTAATTAATAAGTTTTAAATTCTAGCCATGAAGAATTGTAATAATTTTATTATTTATTGGAAATTTTTGACTAGCATTTTTTTTGTATGTAAGTTATTATAGAAAAAGTCGTACGCAACTTAAGTTATAGGTTAAATAAAAAAAACATCAAAATATAGGTAGAAAGTTGACAGATTCTAAACCTGGGGTCGCCATCAGACCCGGGGAAATATAAGAGCGCCGTCAAATTTGACGCTTATATATTAAAACGCTTATATATTTGAGAGTAGTACACTTGATTTCCGGTAGCGTGTCAATTTTAGCTTGAATTCCTCTTCTACATCTAAAACAATCTAGGTTTTGCTAGGTACTGTATACGAGGTGGTGCATACTCGCAATGGGATTGTGTTTTCGCGTCCTGACTCTTTGGAGATTTGTTTTCCATAGTAGTCAGTTACCTACATAGTAATGAATCTTCACATTAGACAGAAATGAGACTCCAGTGACTTATAAATTATATTATTTCTCTTTTCTTCACTAAAAATTCAAACAGAACTAAACCTCGAAACGAAATAAGAAATAAACCTTTTTTTATTTATTATTTCTGTAAAACATAATTCTTAATGAAACAAAGTAATCTAACAAAATAAATTAATGTCACGATTCGCTAACAATAGTTATACGTTGTATAATTATATTTTAGTTTAAATTCTTAACGGTTTTATCATTCGTTACTTTTCAAATTGACATAAAATAATTATGATTAGTACGAGGGAAGGCGATTTATCGAATTCGTCCGGCTTCATTCTCATCAACCTAGACCAGTAGAGACTATTGTCGACGTTCAGGAACCCAACAATATTTAGAAGTGCAGTTGCAGCGGCACTGTCGTGACTCTCGCGCGCCATTTATGTAACCTCAATTAGGAAATTAAAAGGTTACTGACTTCTACAAGCGTCTAATTTGAAAGCGCCTTTAAAGCATCAGCCCCGGGTGAACAGTAAAAAAATATTAATTTTAAAATGAACAACGAAAATTAGAGTAAAAAAAACATGTAATATCAATGGGTTTTACATGTCTTGTAGTTTGAAATTGTCACTCGTCAGTGTTCGTGGCGAATTTCAGCTTCTATATATGAATACGGATATCGTCACGGAAAATGTTCTAAATACTGTAAAGTATAAAATGTGTAGTGAGGGTTAATTTTTTTTGTTTTAGATGATCGCGAACTGTATACCTCGACGTATTCTACTACGTTTTTAAACTCTTTCCATGGCTGACTTACAAAAAGGCTTACAAATGTAGTTCTTATAAGAGCTACATTTGTAAGCCTTTTTCTATTGACGCCTATTGGAATGCTGATTTTATCCACGTATTGGACGTAGAATTGTAAGTGATGATCCACATAGATCCTTAAAGTAAAGGCTGAATGTATTCCTATACAAATATATCTCAACCTTGCAGCTAAAAATGCATCTATACGATTTTTGCAGAGGTATATAGTATATAGTTGGTTGCTAAATATACTGAGTACATTTCCATCTCTATTAGCGCATGGGTGATCTATGTGAAAATTCCCTGTACGTAATTGAGTATTTAAATATACCTAATACACTTTCATTCCTGTTACTTCATTGGCCACTTCCAATACAAAAATGCCCTGTCAATGAACATATTTGAATCCCTAAATATATATTGACTTAACTTCCATCTATGTTGATTCATAGATCGCTTCCCATATGAAAATGCTCTAGATTTTACACGGATCACTAGCACAGTCTTTAGTATAAAGGTTTTGTTTCGCTATAGTTTTAAGCCTCGTAAATGGCAAATTTTGAATATCAACCGGAACCTTATATTCATTTCCATTTAAACGAACTTGTCACTTTGTGAAGACGACTGTCAAGAACAGCTAGTTTATTTGTATTCCTCGTGTTAATGTTTTGTGTCACTATTTTTCATACAAAAGGTACAATTTTTTTTTAACAAAATCACATTTTCATAAATATACTGTGACGCAAGTGTAAAAAACATTCACGCCCTTTTTAAGGTTTTCCACATAATGAGATATAAAACATTAAAAATTTACTATTCTAACACACTAGACTGACTCGTAATCGAAACATGTACATATTTAACTGAATCTTTATGCTCAATTGTACAAAGGTCCATTAACTTAATGCTTCATTAGAAACCATTCTGTCTAAATTTTGCTTTGACAAAGTAATGGTTTATTATAATTAAAATCACGTTAAAGAATATTTCTGAAACGGCTGTTAGTTACATATTTATATTATTATTTGGGTAATTCTTACAAAATCTCGAAATTCTTGTCGTTTAGGTTTATAAACAAAAGTATTTCATCTTTGCCGTAAAATTAACATTTAATATGAAAGTATAATTCAAGTGCCTACATAAAATATTCTTTAGTCTATTTAAATAAAAAAAATAATATAAAAATGTCCCCAAAATCATGTTCCAAGTTCCATAATCAAACACGTTCTGTGCTTTAAATCAACATATTTAACAAAAAGAATCTTCAAATTTTAAACATTCGATCAAATAAACCATGTTTTTTGCAAGATTAAAGCTATCCTGTGGTAAAAAATAGGATAAATAAATTTAAAAAATGTATATTATTCATGTCCCAACCGAAAAAAATCATTCCCTCACACTTTTACCTTCACTTGATTTGTGAACGCATTTTTAATCTTTGGTAAATGCATTTTGTAAGTTTTTGAAAGTTAGCAGCACTGTAAACGTTTCAAAATGACGATTTTGACGATTCAACTTGTGAGCCTAAAAAGTTTCTACTGTGAAAACATTTAATTTAAAATTCTAAAAGTTACATTTTTGACAGTCATTCCCTCACATCATATATAAAAACGTAAGTATTTGATTTTGTTTATTACCTATTCACTCAGACGAGTTATTGGTAGCAGCAGTAAGCTTACACAAAATATTAAGTCTAAAAGTAAGTTTATATCTCAAGTTCTTAGGTTTTCGCGATCGTTACACATAGGAAATGAAACTATTTTTCCGGATTTAAATCGCGTATATTTGTTTTTTCACACAAACCGACGTTTCGGGCCCTTTACAGGTCCCATGGTCACGGTTGACAACAACGTGGTCAACATGGTCACGGAGTCAACCGTGACCATGGGACCTGTAAAGGGCCCGAAACGTCGGTTTGTGTGAAAAAACAAATATACGCGATTTAAATCCGGAAAAATAGTTTCATTTCCTGTAAGTTTATATCGCTATTTTTTCTTGGTTTATTTTATTTCATCATTCCATCACCGTCATTCCCTCGTCCTCAAATGTTCTGACATTTTCTTAAAAGTCATTTATTTTGGGAACCGCTTTATCATCAAAAACTATTTACTAAGACTATGAAATTGACAAAAAATAAATACAAATTCTTCCTAAAAAATTTCATAAAAATCGAAAGTACGAGTTTCAAAATTTCATGAGAACTGCCCATTTGCATATTCGTAGCAGAAGAAATGGTTGATAATTTTCAAGTCATGTCTATAATTTTCATGTCATGTCTAGAAACAACATATCTACTGTAACCTATAGTAGGTAAATTAGTGAATTAAATATGGTATATTGTTTACAAGTATTATGTATACCTTCTTAAAAATTTGAGTGATGACTGATGAGTATAACCTTTCTTTTTGAATACTCAATTGTTTATTGCAGTACTACAACGAGCCATTGCAATTGGCTGTGGTAACTCTTGAAAAATGCAGTTAAGGACTTTTTTCTTTTAAGACGATTTTACTCTGCACGCGTCTCGAATTATTTAATTTTTAGTGTTACTCGTGATATCTAAAGGTAGTCTTCCGCGGTCCGTGATTTTATAAATTTTCTCACACGGCCAACGACCACCGACAGCCACACACTAGCCCCGTCCTTTCATATTAACAATGAACCAACTACAGAACGACAATTGCTACAACTGCACCAATCTGTGCTCTGCTATGGACGTGTCTGCGTTACCACAGACGATTGTGTGCTCACGAAACTGCTTTAAAACGGATGCCTTTGGTGGCACGAACTTACAGCTAAAGTAATACGAATGAAATACTCTACAGATGGGCATGCGGAGCACAATCGAGCCGATCATGACAAGGAACAATTTTAGAATTTAGAACAGTGTAATTAGGTAAATATTTAACGCACTTCTAGAAATTTTTTACTTAAATAAACTAATTTCACACTAAATCCGTTAATTTTCTATGAATGTAAGTAAGTAAATTTGAATTCGTTACAGCATAATATGCATTACGCAATAAATTATTATTTATCCTAGCAAATAATTGCCTTACCAGTATATAATATTTATAAATAACGAAGCTAATTTAATTTAATAAAAGTAACATTCCAGTGCCTCTACCACTAGCTTACTGTGACAGCTGTCGCTAGCGACCTCGTAAAGTACTTCACAATTTTGTATGACTAATTATACAAGAAGGAACAACGTTTTCTATACAAACATTTTAAGCGGTTGCTAGCGATAAGTTTCACAGTAATCTCACGGTAAAGGCATAGTTTAACGTGTTACAAACTGTGGTCTAGATATCATTGTTTATAAATATATCTACGATTAAGGAATTAAATTTGAAAATTTGCAATAAAATATCGGTTGTAAATTTTTTTTACATAAGCGTCTCCGTCATGTGCAATTGTCATCATATCATCACTTGCTGTGTAACATTTACAATATACAATATTTTCTTTCGTTTATACACTTTGTTATTCTATAGTCGTATTATTTAATACGCTCAGTAATTGGCTCTATATGGAGTATGTAGTGACTA